ATTATCTCTATACCACCACTTTAAAATATTTTAAAAGACAAAAAGCTCTGTTTTTTATTTTTTTTATAATTAACTTTATTTATTTATTTGATATCTATAATATTAAAAAAATTTACTCATTTAATAATATATAAAAAATATAAAATATTATCCCTATACCACCACTTTAAAATATTTTAAAAGACAAAAAGCTCTGTTTTTTATTTTTTTTATGAGAAAATCTTTTTATAAGGTTCAAACAAACTGAAGTTTGGGTTGTACACCGTAATATTGCGAGGCAATCAAGGGTGGAATGGTGATTACGTAGTGACCGGAACGTTTAAATGGGGAAAACAGAAGAAAACAGAGAGAAGGTGAAGAGTAAGGACTGAGGAGGATTGAGAGCGACCTGCAACAATAATTTGGAAAACCCCATAAAACCCAACCAAAACAGGTCTACTCCCCCGAAAATAAAAATAAATAAATAAATAAAAATTCAAGAACACCGAAAGCTTTTTATTATTATTATTTAAAAATGGGAAAAAATTCAGAAGAAGAGAAAAAAGGAAGTAGAAAGGCAAGCTCATAATTGGTTGCCGCTTAATCTGGGACTTAATTTGTCCCACATTCGTAAAATTTACCTTTGTATTTAATAGCAAGTTCCTACAATTTCTCGCTTTTGCCCTTTCTCGATTCTAAATGCAAGCTGGTGAGATGGCCTCTGGTTAAATTTTTCTCCGGTTTTAAATATTTTCCTGAAAATCTGTGTATTGTTCTGAAATCTGTAACAAAAGTTTTATATTTCGGAAAATGGGTTTAATATATATAGCAAAATTCAGTCATTGCTGTCGGTTCTGCTGAGTAGGATCTGAACATATTGTGCTGGTTGTTTTGAGAGCAGCAAAAACTCTCTCTTTGAGGTTAGGGTTGGATTTTGTTGCACTTGAATTCCCTCCGCACCCTCCCCCCCCTCTTTTGTTTATTCCTCTGTTTTCATGGTTTCCCTCCTAGATTTTTAAATGTCTGAACTTGAGGGTTTCAATTATTGTGTAATAAGGGTGTTTGGTTGCACAAGTTGTTATAATTATTGTTGATTCTTGGTGTCCTGATTTCTGGGCAATTGTTGTGTTGTTCTGAAGAAAGACATGAGTTGCTTTCCTTGCCTTAGTCCTCGGTCCAAGGAAAGCAAAATCGACATTGATAATGGGAGATCTAGTTCTCGACATATTGTGGATTGCTCAGGTTTGTTTGTCTCTCCTTGTTCTTCATTTTGTTACTTATATTGACTTGGGTGATTTGCATTATGTGTTAAAGTTGTTTCCTTTATGTTTGTCTGGAGCAGTTTCGGGCAGTGCACGGGGGAAGGCCATTTTAGATGATAAGGGTGAACTGCTTCAGTGAATTTATAAAGCTTTATTTTTTAAAAAAAAAATGTTTTGATTGTTTATGATGGTGTTTTTTACACTCTTATTTCTTTTCAGATAGTGGGAAAGGGAATGATCTTCCGAAGAGCCCGAAAGGAATTGGGGCACGCAGTTTCACATTTAAAGAATTAGCTGATGCAACGAGGAATTTTAGAGAAATTAATTTGATTGGGGAAGGAGGTTTTGGAAGGGTTTACAAGGGTCGCTTGGAATCAGGGCAGGCAAGTTAATTTCTTACCATCATTATTTGCATCAATAGTTTAGTTTGCAACATGGCATGAATTTCACCTTTATACAGCTGGCTTATGGAATTGTGGACATATTTACAGTATTGAAATTTACATATTTGAAACTGTGTTATTCCTTATTACCGGTTTAGTTGTATTCCCAGATCCTTATTTGAGACGCATGTCTTTATTATTATTTAATCCTTAATTGACGTGAATGCTTGATTCTTATGAGCAGATTGTTGCAGTTAAACAACTTAATCAAGAAGGTCTTCAGGGGAATCAGGAATTCATTGTTGAGGTTCTTATGTTGAGCCTGTTACACCATGCCAATCTGGTCAAGTTGACTGGCTACTGCACTGCTGGAGATCAAAGGCTCTTGGTTTATGAATACATGCCCATGGGTAGTTTGGAAGATCATCTTTTTGGTAACTTCTTCTTTCTCCACGTCGTCTACATCTCTTTTTTAACTTTTCAGTTTGTCCCTAACTCCCTCTCTTGTTTGGTATAATAGAACTTTATACTTCCTTTTCATCTCCAAGTCATGCAATACTTAAATCAGATTCTTCTCTGCATGATAGTTGATGGTATTTGATCTTGAATTTTCTGGAGCTGTGGCAAGAGCTATGTAATTTTACTAATAAATTTTGCTTCCCTTATTAAGTTTATTATCTCTGCTAGATCGCTATATAACTTTAGGTCATCTACTCCTTTTGATCCATTACTATTGCCTTGTTGGAATTAATCTTGAACTGTTTTGTGTTAATGGTACAAAATGCTTTACTTCGATATTGATTCTTGAGTTTGTGAGTTTAGGGATTTTCTCCAGCCATCTAAGGCATCCACTTATGCATTAGCAATATGTTAACATGTTTTACTTTCCTAGATATGACTTGCTGTCTTTTAGTGACGAAAATGGCTTGAATCAGAGCTTTTCAAAAGAGAGAATTTTGCTCAATGCCAAAGAAAAGAGAAACTTTTACTCTTTATGTTCAAGCTGTTTTTTTGCATCATGAGTGATAATGTTCTCTTCTTATGGTTCATATACCTCAAGGGAAAATTTAAATAGTAATGTCGGTGACAATAACGAGGGGTGGCTAACTTCTTACTGTTTTGATTGGAATGATGACTTCCTTCAATTCTCTTCAAAGAATAACTGTGCTTGAATTATTTTCAGATCTGGAACCTGATAAACAGCCTTTGGATTGGAATACTCGTATAAAGGTTGCTGTTGGTGCTGCTCGGGGTGTTGAGTATTTACACTGCAAAGCAGATCCGCCTGTCATTTATCGTGATCTTAAGTCTGCAAACATTTTGCTGGATAATGATTTCAATCCAAAGCTCTCAGATTTTGGTTTAGCAAAATTGGGTCCTGTTGGTGACAATACACATGTTTCAACCAGGGTGATGGGAACATATGGATATTGTGCTCCAGAGTATGCTATGAGTGGCAAATTGACTTTAAAATCTGATATTTATAGCTTTGGTGTGGTGCTATTGGAGCTGATAACTGGTCAGAAGGTGATAGATTTAGGTAGGAAGCATGGAGAGCAGAACCTGGTCTCTTGGGTGAGTTAAATCTAATACTTTTCCTTTTTGTCTTTTGATTCACTTATTTTATTATGCCATCTGTTTTGTGGAAAGTGTCTAATACTGGTACATGTCTGCATGGATACGTAAAACTTTTTGTTTGTTTTTTCATTAATTTCAAGGACTCAAGAGACATGCCCATATGAACTATGGATTTCCTGTTTATAGTCCATGTAACATTGATTCTGTAACCCAATTCTTTCGTTCTTTCTGTTCCTCCCTTCATCTTCTATCTCTTTTCTCCATGAATTATGAGGGCTGTATGTTGCAGTTATGACCTTGTCCTTGTAAAATTCTTTTTGACCAGAGTGTTAACCATCTCAAATTATTATTCAAAAGATTTGCTGTTTTGGAGTTAAATTATATTGCCTTTTCGTCTTCATCATGGGTTGTTTTATGCATCAAAGGCATAACTCATTGTTTTCACTTGGCCTTCAAGTATATACATACTTCTGAATATACTTTTATTATTTGTTCAGCTTTTATCATTTGAATTGATAATTGGATTTGCTGGTATGCTTTCTCTCTGAACTGAATAGCATGAACAGATTCTGCTCTTTTGCTTTACCTAGTTCTTGGATTTTCATTGCAGTCTCGTCCTCTTTTAAAGAATCCAAAGAAGTTTGGGCATCTGGCAGACCCTCTGATGCAAGGACGTTATCCACGCCGCTGCTTCAACTATTTAGTTGCAATTACTGCCATGTGTCTAAATGAAGAAGCAACTTTCCGCCCCCTTATTGGTGACATCGTTGTTGCACTTGAATACTTGGCCTCTCAGACCCGAGGCCCAGAATCACATAATGTTGGGGACTGCAATGCCACTCAAGCATCATCTTTACAAGAGGAGAACAAATCCCTTGATAGAAGAACTGGGTCCAGAATGGCTTCAACTTCTACTTGAAGTTTGTTTGGTAAGAACTACATTCATCAAGTATGTTAAATTCTCTTTAAATTAGGATCTGAACATTTCCAGTCACTTAGTTCTCCTTTTAGGAATAAAGAAGAAAGTTAAAAATGCAGCCAGATTATAACTTTAATTTTGTGCTCGTTTGTTACAGGCCGTTCGTCGTTGTCTAATGAAACATGGAAGAAAGACTTGGACAATTTTCATGTTCAGCGTGAAATGCATGCAACAGTAGTGGTGTAAACATATGCGTATATATATATCTATTTATGTGTATATTTCTCTGTAATAACTAGCCATTTTTTTTGTTTCTTACCAATAGGATTGCTGGATTTCAAGTATAGGATGATTGGAAACTTGGTTTGTTTAGGATTCTCGTAACAGGTTGGGTTAGCATCAACAGGTTTTCTCTTTCCTGTGGATACTGTGTTTTGGTGGATAGCTACGGATTAAATTTGTTTTTTTTTTTTTTCCTGTAAAAGAAAAAAAATAGTAAAAGTAAAAATAAATTGTATGTGGTATATGTTATGCAATTTTCCCATCTTCCTCTTCTTGTTCTTAACATGTCTTGAAAAATAATTTGCCAAGTGAAGTGTGGGGCAGCAAGAACCATTTGTTAAAGGTTAAATATTCAATTTGGTTTCTAAACTATTGTATGGATTTTGAATTTGGTCCTTAAATTAAAAAAAAATTTTAATTTGATCTCTGAATTATTGTACGGATCTCTGATTTGGTTCTTATTGTTTATTAATTTGTTTTATGTTGGTTATTTATACAAAAATAGCTGACTGTGTCTTGTTATTAACCTAACACGTTATCGTTAAATTATTGTTTTCTGTCGTTAAGTTATTATTTTTCACCGTTAAATATTGAACACATCAGTTTTTTTTGTACGAAAGAACTAATTTGGGATAAATTGGTAAACAGTAAGGACCAAATCAAGGATTCGTATAATAGTTTAGGGACCAAATCAGGGACTTTTTAGTTTACGGACCAAATTGAAGGTCTATTAATAGTTCAGGAATCAAATTGGGAATTTAACCTTTTGTTAAATAACAATTTAGAGAAGGGCTTGTCTTACTGGCTCCTAAGGGCCCGGTTTAAAGAGTAATTATAAACCAATTATAACTTTTTTCATTTTTCTTTTTTTGGAAAGAAGTGAAATTTTGAATTAAAAAATAATTTTTTTTAATTCAAAATAGGGTTTTCTTTATCATGTGCTTTAATTTTATTTATTATATTTTTATAATTAATTTATATTGATAATATAAATGTTGATTTAATTTAATTAATTGGTAAATTAAAATTATACACATAATATGGTATTAAAATAAATGTTAATTTTTGTGATTTTTTTAATATAAATTAATTATGAAAAGATATATATTATGTATTGCATCTTAAGCACATCTTTAAACAAACTTTTCCAAATATATCAATAAAAAATTAACATGTATCATTTACAATTAAGATTTTTTTAATATGTGCCCTAATAGATTATAATTAATATATTTTTTGATAATTAATTTATACTAAAAAAATTTACTTTTAATTTATCAATTGTTTAATTATAATCATCCAAATGATATTAGTATTAAAATTAATATTGGCTTTTGCATTTGTTCATGTGATGTAAATTAAAATTAATATTACCAACAACCTGTTGGTCCGAGTAGAAGGAGTTCGGTTCCTCTTAAATAAGATCTCGAGTTCGAGTCTTGTGAATGGAAAAAACAAGTGCTGGGAGAGCTTCTCCCCATATGGGGTCCGACCCGTCTCGATTCCGGATTAGTCAAGATCCAATGTGATTTCTGAATATCAAAAGGTTAGTACCAAAAAATAAAATTAAAGACTAAAAAGTAATTAATTACACCATTAATGTACAAGGTGAGAAAACCTTTATAATTAAAACGAAAGACGACCGATTCCTTTTCAAGATTAAAAATAGCAATTATGTTTAATAATTACTTCTGTCAGTACTTCTACTTGACAGAATGTATAAATTATTTATAAAAACTAAAAAGATATTTTAACCATCAACTTATTATTCTAAGTATAAAAAAATTGATTTCTTAAAAAATAAAATTTTAAGTTTAAATTTTATGAATTAAGAGAGATGCACTAAATAAACTTTTTTTTATAGTGTTTAATACAACTTGACTTCATATTAGTTAGGATATAATATGACTTCTAAATATCGGGACAATTTAGTATAAAAAAATAAAATAAAAGGGTATTCTAAGTTAAGGATACATTTACTATGCTTTTTAGTAATTAAGTTATGGGTTTTTCTTAGCACAGATTAAGAAAGTAAAAAATATAATATTTATCATTAAATGATATAAAAAGAATCAAGTTTGACTTTAATTTTAATAACTAACCAATTAAATTAAGATATATGGTATTAATGTTAAAACTAATATAACTTTTTTGTTTTTCTATATAAATTAATGATTAAAATGTGTATTAAATATACTTTTATCATGTACTTGTAGGGTATGTGTTAAAAAAATTCTTAAGTTATATAAAAAAAATAAAGTTTAAATTTAATTTTAGTAACTAACCAATTAAATTAACACGCATGGTGTTGCTACTAAAATTAATACCAATTTTATTATTTTTTATATGACTTAGGCTTAGTTTAATACTACTATCCAATGCTGCCTCATAGCTATAACTTTTAAAAGTGCTATGTTGTACTACCACTAAAAGCATTTTAGTGTTTGATAATTAAATTTGAAAAAAAAATTATTTATGGTAAAATTACTTAATTAAACACATTATTATTTAAAATTAAATTAATTAATAATTTAATATATAATGTATGAAAAAAAATTGGGAGTTTTATTAAATCACTTGGGAATTCTATTAATTTTTGGATAAGATGAATATTTGTATTCCTTTTGAAAAAAGTAGAGATGGATAATTTACCAAACACATAAATTACAAAAAAATTATGTAAATACGTGTGAAAAGTACTATACGTAACATTATGAAACTAAGCTTTAATGACTAAAAATTGTATCAATTACACTTCTAACCTGTGTCTTAGACAAGTATTTTATAAAAGAGTTTGTTTAACTTGTGTATTAATTGTATTTTTTTACATTTAATTTTTATAGAAAATAAAAAAAATTGAATTTATTGTTATCATTAATGCAACATGTATAATTTTAATTGAATAGTTGATAAAATTAAAGTTATTTTTTAATTTTTCAAGATAAATTAATTACAAAAGGGTGCAATAAATGCGCAATTATCACATGCTTTAAGGGCACAAATTAAAAATTTTCTTTATAAAATAAAGTTTTATTAATCTGTATTTTAAGTTAAAAGTGTAATTAATATATCTTTTATTCATTAAGTTATATAAAAAATAAATTTTTATTTTAAATTTAATAACTAATCAATTAAATTAATACATTTAGCACTTATGGCTTGACTTTAATGCTAAAAATAATATTAATTTTGTTATTTTTTCACATGACTTAATAATTAAAAAATATATTAATTACATCTTTAACATATGTATTTATAATACAAGTTACAAAGATGCTATGATATATAGTCTTTGTCAACAGGTTCATATTCATATTTCTCAAGACATGAGCTCAATTGGTGACTTTGGTTTGGGTTGATTCTTCATTTGTTCGCAGAAAAGCCCGGTAGGTCAATGATTTGAGTTTCCAGTAAATAAATAAAGTTGATGTCTTCGCGAGGAAATATAGACAAAAATTAGATTTGAAAAGCAGGTATAGTCTATATATAGACTTTTTCTTAATTTTTTTAGTACTAATCTTTTAGCATTTAAAAGTTATATTCGACTCTAATTAATTCAGAGTTAAGTTAATTTAGATGTTATGAAAAGAAAAACTCTCCTTATATTTGTTTTGTTTGTGCATTCACAAAACTTAAATTTAAGATTTTTTTAAAGGAAATTGATCTCTTTCTACTTATACCAATGAATTATTGGTAGATTTCTTCTTAATTAAGAAAGCATTGTAAATCAATAATTTAAATTGGACTAATATGATAAACCTATAATAAGGAACAAGAATAGTCTTCTTCTTTGTTTTGTTTTGGTAAATGGAATAGGCATAGTCTTTGCGGAGCTGAGGGGGTGGAAGTCGGTGCTGGGGTCCTTCGTGCGAGAGAAAAGTAATGGATATTGAACTCCATTTGGGTTTTGGGGAACGAAAATTCTACTAGATAATGGGCTATTAATTTTAGATTATGGAAGTATCATGTTGATGGACACGTTGTGAAAGTGTAACTTACGCCTAAAAGTAGAATTAATTAGCTGGGATGACTTTAGTCTTTTAATTTCTTGCTGACTGTTTCTTTTTCGTCTTATTTTAGTTGGGGGCTACATTTTGCGTAAGTATTCTGGATCTATAGTAGCATACGAGAATTTTGTCCCAATTAGTATTCGCTATTTGTAAATTATATGGAATTAAAGTTAATTAATTTTCAATGTTCCAATATATATAACGAAAAAGAAATTAAGAATCGTTGATAGCTTGAGAAGAAGACCCAGCCGGCGCTGGAAAGAACAAGTGAAGGAAGAATGGAAAAGGTGCAATTTAGCCCCTCTACTTTATTTGTTGTAGCAAGTCAGCTCCTCTACTTAAAAGTAATGCAAATTGGCTCCTCTACTTAACAAAACCCACAAATCAGCCCTTTTGTTAAGGATGATGTCATAAAATGTCATATTTGTATTTGTCCTTTTATTGTTCCTATATCACTTGCTATTTTACCCCTCAAAAGTTGTTATGGGTTAATTGTTCTAATTAAAATTATACAAAAAAATTTTTTTAAAAAAAACATATTATAAGTCATATTTCAATCCATGTCAAGTAAGCTTGAATTAATAGAATAATAGAGAGGCAAATGGAAAGATGACGTTTTATGACATCATCCTTAACAAAAGGTTGATTTGCGGGCATTGTTAAGTGGAGGCACATTTACATTACTTTTAAGTAGAGAGGCTGATCTGCCACAACAAATAAGGTAAAGGGACTGAATTGCACCTTCTGCCAAGGAAGAAAACCTTATGGGAGTGCTTACGGTGGGCCCTGAAGTCAACGATACTCTTGGTCAAAAGTTGTTGGCAAGAGAATGGCAAAGTCGATACTACAATAATACTTGCGGTAAAATGAAAGATCTACCTTGAGTGACATGAAGTTTATAGTATTATTATTGGCTATAATAGTTGGTAAGAATCCACACAAATTAGAAGTGATTGATTTTTATACTAATAAAGATTTATAGATAGTAAAAAAATTAAACTTATATTGTTAATAGTAATTAATCATGTATTATTAAATAAACTCACATTTCCTCCCCCACTTGAGATTTTAGATGTTACAGTTACAGTGAGAAAAATCACACTTATTACTCTCATCTCTCATGATATTACAATCTTTACAAAATTGTTCTATTTATTTAAAGTAACTCTATAGAACACCTTTTTCTACAAAAAAGAATATTTAAAGAAGGTTAGAGGCTAATTTTGGTACCTTAACTATAAAAATATTTTTTTTAGTCATTTTATCAGTTAATTCGTTCAATATATTTAAATATGCATATTTTTAGTCTTTAAACTTATATACACATAAAAATAAGTATATTTTGGATAAACTTAACGGACAAATTAACAAAAGGACAAAAAAATATATTTTTCACAATTAATGAACTAAAAATATGCATAAAAAGTTATAAGATGAAAATTATACAAAATTTTAAAATTAAGGAACTAAAATTGACATTATCCTCTAAAGAATAATAGAATGTACGGAAGTAGAAAAAAATGTAAAAGACTTATCAAGCTAAACAAAGTTGCGTGTCTTATTTGTAAGATTCATAATCTTTTTCAGTGGCTAATTATATGAATAAACTATATGAATAAATTATCAACAATTTGTAAGATTAAGTGGAAAAAAATTCAATTTTATTTAAATAAAGTCTCAAATTTGAGTTTTGTTAATAGATAAATAAATATTGGAAGAACTTTTTTTCTTATGAAGTTTAATGTGATATAATTTAAGATTAATTGAAATTTAATAGATTTTCAAATACTGAAGGGCTTAACGCAAAAAAATTATATGAATAAACTATATGAATAAATTATCAACAATTTGTTAGATTAAGTGGAAAAAAATTGATTTTATTTAAGTAAAGTCTTAAATTTGAGTTTTGTTAATAGATAAATAAATACTGGAAGAACTTTCTTTCTTATGAGGTTTAACGTGATATAATTTAAGATTAATTGAAATTTAATAGATTTTTAGATAGTGAAGGGCTTAACGCAAAAAAATTATATGAATAAATTGAATAATTACTTTATACCCTATCAAGGACAATTAACCCATAACAACTTTTAAGGGGTAAATAGATTTCAAGTTAAAGAGTCATTAAATCAATAGTCCTTAATTGGAGAAATTTTTGTGAGAATATGAAATCAGTAGTATTTTTATCTACTAATATAGTAGCACATTAAAATATGTAGTTCTCATTTATAATTAAAAGGATTAAATTATTACAATTTTCCAATTATTCAATTGCAAGTGATGCTTGCATCCCCTTTATATAAAATAATTTATTTTTTTCTTTAATTCAGGTCGTTTTACCAAATAACTTAATTAAAAGAAGAAAGGGCACTCCATAATTGGGAAAATATATTACTCTTATTGGTAGGAAATAAATGTCTTATTATTATGATAGAAACATATCAGTTCCTAAGTGATTGTCGTATTATGTACGTAATTTGGGGTTGGTGTAAGAGCTGATTATTTCATCTATAAAATTAAGATCAAATTCATGATCGATCAATTTAATCCGCGTACAACTACCATTGAATCAGAGAACCGGTCCTCATGGACTATTGACTTATCTCCTACCTTCCCTCCCTTAAAGGCTCAAATAATATCACCCGGGCCAAAGAAGACTCGAACATTTATTTCTTTTTTTTCAACATTAGGGGTAGGATTCAAATACTACAATTTTAAGTTTTAACATGAAAAGCCTCGATAAAAGAATGGTGGTCACTAGACTACCTGTACATTCTTGAAAAAGACTCAAACATTAATATCAATATAGGGGAAGAATTGAATACAAAAGGAGATGTGGGGCTCTTGGAGGTGTCTCGAAACTGGCAAGGTGCATGGCGTGTACTTTAGAGTTTTTTTTTTTTTTTTTTTTTTTTTTTTTTTTTT